GTTTAAAGCCGCGATGAGGGAGTCCACGCGTCTGTACGGATTCACCAACACGGAAAATATGGCAAGGTTAAGAAACTGTTTACGTGGTGAGGCTAGGGAGGTAGTATCGGCGCTGCTGTTTACCACGAAGGATCCAGCAGACATTATGCGGACACTGGAGCAGTGTTTCGGCCGCCCGGAAGTAATTATTGATCGTGCGTTAGATGATTTGAAACGCCTTCCGCGCCCGGGTCAAACCGCCTAGGAGTTAAATTCGTTCGCGATTAAGTTGCAAAATATAGTATGTATTATTCAGAATGTTGACGGCAAAGGATATTTACGAAATCCGATGCTAACTAGGGAGGTCATGAGTAAGCTTAGCCCTCACTTAGGGTCGCGTTGGTGCGATTATGCGGAGCACTACGGAAGTGCGGACGAACCGGACATTGTCACACTATCCCTATCCTATGATGAGAGAGGCTGACCGTGCGTTAAGTCATGCCTATACGTCCGTAACGTCGACAAAGGAATCGCCCGTAAGACGAGAAGCACCGCCGTCGAAAAGGATAGTGTTGACACGCCGCGTAGAGGATAGGGCCCGCGACGTAAAGACGTTCACCGTCCGGAAGGACACCGGAAGTGCCTAGTGTATGTGTTGTGGGGGTGAACACCCAATCGCCAAACGTAGAAAGCTGGCCCAAATGGGTCTGGACGACCGGTGGAAGTGAGCAAGGGAAGATGGGGTGTGATTTAGGTGTTTAAGCAGCAAACACCGACGCCTGCGTTGTAAGGCTAGGAAGTGCGGCATCGACGGCTGCAAGGCCCCCCACCACGCCCTCCTTCACGCCCGCAAGGCTCGCACGCCTGAAGCGTCGGTAAAACCGAATGAAACCGTGCTCATCGCGTCGAACGTTAATAGTAGTGCGTCTGTGTTATTGAAAGTGTGCCCTATTACCGTGCGCGGACCGCGCGGTAAGGAAGTTGATACGTATGCGCTACTAGACGAAGGCTCTACCAATCGTTAATCGACGACGACTTAGCTCGCGAGTTAGGAGCGGAAGGACCGATAAAGCCGCTCAATATTAGAGGTGTAAATAAAAGTCAACGCGAGGCCAATAGCAGATTAGTTAATATAGGAATACGTGGCAAGACGCGCAGTGAGATGTATAATGTAAGCGCGCGAACGATAGCAGACTTAAACATAGGCTCGCAGTCTGTGAGTAGGGAGTGCTTACGGTTGAAGCACTTACGCGACTTACCGAGTGCGGTATGTTACGACGACGCGAAGCCGAGAATATTATTAGGCGTTAACCGTGCCGCGGTTAACGTGTAGGGAAGACGGCGAGACGGTATTACACGTAGCAAGCACTAGCGGACGGCCAGATAGGGACATCCAAACGTTTGCCAGTCAGGACGAGGAGCTAACGGAACTCCTCAAACGGCAGTATGAGATCGATTCTATAGGTATCTCGCTAAAGAGTAGGCCGCGACGGGAAGAGGAGCGTGCTGTCGACATATTCCAGCGCACCGTCAAGAAGGTCGGCGAGCAATACCAAGTTGGACTGCCATGGAAGGACGACAATTGAAAGGAAGATGGACCAGTCGCCGGAGTTTAGGGAGGCCTATACAGCCTAGATAGACAACCTCCTGGCGAAAGGATACGCAAGGGAAGCCGAGGGGATAGAGAGAGAGGACCCCAAGAGCTGGTACCTGCCACACTTCGCAGTGCGGAACCCGAACAAGCCGGGGAAGACGAGAGTACTATTCGACGCGGCAACGCGCGCATCCAGTAGATGTCTTGATGACTATTTATTCTACGGTCCCGAAATATTACGGAACTTACCGGGCATACTGTACTGTACTGTTTAGGTTTAGAGAAAACGAGATAGCCGTGTCCGCGGATATTAGGGAAATGTTCTTACGTGTGAAAATCGACCGTCGCGACCAACCCGCGCAATTGTTTCTCTGGCGAAAAAACGAGCGATATAGCCCACCGCGGTAGTACGTTATGACGTCAATGATTTTCGGCGCGAGAAGCTCGCCGTTTCTCGCACATAGTGTCAGAGATTGTAACGCGCGCGCACACGCAGAGACACACCCGTTGGCGCTTAACGCTATCGTACGTAGTCATTATATGGACGACTATTTAGACAGCTACGCAACGGTAGAGGAAGCGGTAAACATAGCGGGGCAGGTTACGGAAGTGCACCAGAAGGCCGGCTTCACCTTGGCAGGCTGGAATTCCAATCACGCAGCCCTACTAGAAGACAAACCGGAGCATCTACTGGCGCGCAAGCCTAAGGAAGTAGGCCTAAGGCAAGACAGCCCAGGCAGAACCCTAGGGTTGTTGTGGATGGCCGACGAAGACGCCCTAACCTTCAATACATCGATGAATAGGGTGCCGCAGGAAGTAAAGGCGCCACAGCGGCCACCGACCAAGAGGGAAGCATTAAGCGCGGTCATGTCGGTGTTTGACCCGCTCGGACTGCTCAGCTACCTCACCATCACCACCAAGATCCTGCTACAAGACCTATGGCGTATGAAGAAGGTCGTCATCCTATCGATGATGAACTACCCGAGGAGGCAGCGGATGAGTTCCAGAGGTGGCTGCGAGTCGTTGAGGAGGTGTCACGACTGCGATTGCCAAGGTGCTATGCTCCTACGGGGGGAGTGGTAGAGCGTCAACTTCACGTATTTAACGACGGATGACGGAACGATTAGGGTACGATTAGTGGCGGCCAAGGCGAAAGTCGCTGCGATTAAGGCGCAGAGTATACCGCGACTAGAGTTGCAGGCGAATCTGATAGGCGCGCGACTTGCGGAATTCGTACAAGGCGAACACAGAGTGGTAGCGGATAGGGTCGTATATTGGACGGACTCTACTACGGCACTCCACTGGATACAGAATTATACGGCGCGTTACACTCCATACGTGGCTCATCGGTTAGGGGAGATAGCTGAAAAGACATCACCTGAGCAATAGAGGTGGATACCGACTGCGGAGAACATAGCAGATCAGGCAACGCGCATGAACTTCGTAAGCAAAGAAGAAAGCGACCAATGGTTCACAGGACCGTCATTTCTTTACGAGGACGAAGACAGATGGCCTCACGAGAAGTGGAGCGGAGATGTCTGCGATGCAGGGTATGCAAGGCGACACCACGGCCAGCGGTTACAGGAGACCTACCACTCGAACGGTTAGGGGCGTTTGCGCGACCGTTTACCTACACCGGAGTCGACTATTTCGGGCCTTTGATAGTTACGATAGGACGACGGCACGAAAAGCGGTGGGTAGCACTATTCACGTGCTTAACGACGCGCGCGGTTCATTTAGAGCTAGTTTACTCCACACAACGGACTCGCGATATCGGCATTGCGGCGCATGGCGGCTAGGCGTGGGTGGCCGCGGGTTATATACTCCGATAACGGTACAAATGTTCATGGAGCAGATGCAGAGCTACGACGTGCGATGGAAGAGTGGGCACCGCAGCTAAAGGACTACGCGCTGACTCGACGAACAGAATGGAAATTCATCGCACCGGGCGCGCCTAACCAGGGAGGCGCATGGGAGCGTCTCGTACGCTCGGTGAAGACCGCACTCGAAGCCACTCTACATCAGAAGAGCCCGCGGGAGGAGACTCTAGCGACGCACCTGACGGAAGCCGAAAACACAGTTAACTCTCGACCGTTGACGCACGTACCGGTCGACATCAACGACGAAGAGGCATTAACACCCAACCACTTCATCCTGTTGGGACCATCGGGCCTACCAGTCACCGCGCCGTGCACACCCATCGATCGTCGGGCGTGGAGAGTGGCGCAGGGGCTCGCCGACGAGTACTGGAGGCGCTGGATGAAAGAGTACCTGCCGACGCTGGTTGCGCGCGGGGACTCCCAGGACGTCCAGCAGCGACGAATACAAGAAGAGGACCTCGTCGTGGTTGCGGACGGCAACCTACCACGGAACGTGTGGCCAAGGGGGGTCGTCACGAAGACGTTTCCTGGACCGGACGGCGTGGTGCGCAACGTTGAGGTCAGGACTAGGGGCGTAGTGCTGCGGCGACCAACCCACCACCTCCCATGGCCCCATCGACCCTCAGGTCATATGGGCCGAATCTCGGGAGATGCGCGCGGTACTTGCACGTAGCTCTTTCCCGCGCGCACTTTCTTGACTCCCTACAAATATTTAATCTGTTCCTTGTCCCAATTTTAACGTCATTCTCACACTTCTGGGGCTGACGGCACACTGACGCCTACGTCGTCAGTCCTTTCTGCCAACACTCTATCATTACTTCTCCTGCGGTCACGCCATGTGTGCGCAAATTCGCGCAACAGCCCGTAGTTCACCCCGCCGCTGACGAGATCCGAGTAATAGATCGGTCCCTGAACCGAACGAACTAGTCCATCCATCATTTTCGCTCTTAGGTCGTCATACAGAGGACATTCCCATAGAACAGGGTGAACGTCCTCCTTTATCGCACCACACTCACACATACTTGTATCACACAGTCGCATTTCACTCAGTCTCTTCCGAAAGCATCCATGTCCGGTGAGAATCTGAGAGGTTTGATAGTCCGGTGAGACCCAGGTATACTTGAGTCTCAACTCCACCTCCGGGAAAAATCGATAGAGCTCGCTTCCTTTTGAGTCATTCATCCATCGATCCTGCCATACACCAATCACCTCAGTCCAAAGTCCGCAGTCGCGTTTCCGCCTGCTCAACTCCTCTTTGGGCACGTTCATACTTGCTATACCCATCCTACCAGCACGAATAACCTCCAGGTTAGCAGGAAGAACACCAGCCAGCACCGGCAAGGCCGCCGTGCTAGTGGATCGGTACGTCTTAGTTAACAATATAAGGGCGGTTCACTGGGATCTGAGTAGTGCACTGCGAACTGCGTACATGTTCGCGCGCTCGTACCAGCACTCTGCCGCGTACGTAAGCGTGTATACATACACTCTGCTATAGATTATTTTTAGGCTCGGGTATCGGACACCCCATGATGATGTCGATACGCGAGTCATTTTACCGAATTCGACCAAGTCGCTCTTTCAGAAATATCGGACGCGTGTTGCACAAACGATAGTCCCGAATCCAAAACCACGCCTAGTACCTTAGCATTGGTCACATTCTTGATGGATTCTCCACCAAGTTTAATAACGGGGGGGCGCTGAAGTTTCCCTCTAACAGTCATTGTGGTCGACTTTGATGAGGAGAACTCCAGTCGATTCCTTAGCCCCCACTTCCGTACAAGGTCCAGAGTAACTCTGGCCCTGGATTCGATGCCCGCTCTGGTTTGTGATTCAATGAGAATCGTGACATCGTCAGCATAGGCAGTCATTGCTACTCCCTCAGGCAGAGGGAGTCGGAGTAGGTCGTCCATCAATACATTCCACAGTGTAGGGCCCAGCACGGAGCCTTGAGGACATCCCATGGTCGACGTCTTCCACTCTACCCGGTCACCGATGAAGAGACCGACACGTCTGGAGGTGAAGTAGTCCACCAGCATTTTGTAAATGTTGGGTGGACAACCACCCCGTTTCGCCTTGACCATCATCATCGGCCACCAGGCGTTGTACAAGGCGCCGGAGATATCTAAAAAGATTGCCTGCACGTAGCATGCCCGAGAATACCTTGCCGTGCTGAGCAAGACACGCAGCGCTGTTAGCGTAGATCGCCCCGGAGAAAATCCATGCTGGTATTCAGATATCCCACGACTAATCGCAGGAGCACATCTCAGCATTACTCGTTCTAGCAATTTTCCCAAAACTGGGAGGAGCGTAATTGGACGGTATGCCTTGGCATCGGTGAGTGGCTTGTCATTACCCTTGGGAATGACAATCAGTCTTCCATCCTTCCATACCTTGGGGAAAACTCCCTCTACTACACACTTAGCATACACCAAGTGAAATTCCCTTGGCGCTGCCATCCATATATTCCTCACGATTCTCGCACTTACTCCATCGAGTCCCGGAGCTGTGTTAGGCTAGGTCTAGACTATACCTCCCAGGTCCTCAACCGTGTGTGGAGACGCAGCCACACCAGACGGCACAAATGCCGCCAGCAAACGGACTTGCTGGCGCTAAGCCGTGTCGCAATCAAGGCTGTCATCCGGACAGAGCGCAGACATTAAATCTTGCATGGCCGCTTCCAGTCGGTCCGGGTGCCCACCCGCAAAGGCGATTCCGTTAATTACATTAGCAGGCGGACGCACCCTCCCGCTAACCTGTATGACAGGTTCCACGGGTCCTCAGTACCAGTGTTGGCGACCCTTATGTGCTGCGACTGCTGTGCCTCCACCATCATCTTCCTGTATCTCGCACGTATACGTGTGCGTTTACGTGTTCGTGTGCGTTTACGTGTTCGTGTGCGTGTGCATGTGCATATGCCTGTGTGTATGCGTGTACGTGTGCGTTTGCGTGTGCGTGTACATGTGCGTGTGCGACTGCATGTGCGTGTTTGTGTCTGTGTGCGTGCGAGTGCGCGTGTGGGTGTGCTTGCACGTGTGCACGTGAGTGAGCGTGTGCGTGTGCATGTGCATCTCCGTGTCCATGTACGTGTGTGTGTTTATGTGTAGTAGTAAGTTTTTTTTCTTGTTTTTAATTTGCACCTACCGACATCTTTATTTATTCCATCTTTCTAAGGGTTGACATGCATGGCATTTAGTCCGTCTTTTGTAACCCCTAGTTGAAGGTGTGTTGCAATAAAGATCAAATCCAGACACAAAGAGAAACTATGGCTGAGCGGGTGAATCACACTATAGGCAGTCTCCGAATGGGGCGATGCCAATCTTGTGAGATTTAACGTCTCCAAAACACAAGCGTGTCTTTTCACCGCTGTATTATAATGCTCACCAGAGCTGGTGCTGCGAAATGTCACCTAGCAGCGTTGGACTCAGTAGAGAGACCTGCTAAGAGGCTCATTGGTGATCTTGATTTGGTTGAAACCAATCTTGTCAGCCTCGAGCACAGGCGCAAAGTAGCCAGTCTCTCGGTATTATTTAGGGTGCATTTCGGTGAGTGTGCGCAGGAATTACACGCTTTAATTCCTTCCTCTGCTTTCCACCATCGGACAACCAGGCGGTCGGCGGGTCTTCACCCCTTTGTTGTCGATAATCCACGCATTAGAACCAAAACGTTTGCTTCGTCTTTTGTAATGCATACAGCAAAGGAGTGGAATAATTTGCCTGCGTCTATCTTTCCGTCCGAATACAATCTGGGCGTCTTCAAGGCAATCGTGAATAGGCTTTTGTTATGCTAAGACAGTGCGATTTACCATATAGGATTGCATCACCACTTACCACCAGGTGGGATTGTGGTCAAGAACTGGCTTATAATAACATAAAACATAAACATAAACACTCACGCCTGTCACCCAGAGGGATATGCAGAGACTATGGACTTCCATTTGGCATGATCCTGACACACCTCTCTCGCTTCCTCCACATCCATATACCTACGCATACACGCTCGTCGGTTAAAGGTACTCTTGATTTGGCCCATTTTTAGTATATCGCCAATTTGGTCGATAAACTTTCGCCTAGAGCGTCCCTTCCCGACTCTGCCGTTCACCTCTTTGTCACTCTTTCCTCATTCATTCTTTCTACATGACCAAATCACCGAAGCATTCCTTTTTCAATCCTGGTTTCAACATCATCTTGCAAACCACACTCTTCTCTTATCACACAATTTCTCAATCTGTCATTGAGATTTATCCCAATTCAGATGTCCATTCATACCCCCCCCCTCCCCCCCCCCGAACGATGGTCATATGGTGACCGGTGAGACATGCCCTGCGAAATTTATTTATTTATTTAGAAAACCAAACAGCTCTTATGAATATACAATGTTAATAATTTATAAATGATTATAACAGCCAATTATAGGTTTCCCTGTATAAATCTTAAATGGTATCTCCTACTCTTAATACATATCAAATAAGAACAAGGTGAAACTAGTAAACTATGACTAAGAGGTTTGCGCGTGCGCACGCGCGCGCACGCACGCATGTGTGTGTGTGCGTGTGTGTGAGTGTGTGGGCGTGCGTGTGCGTGTGCGTGTGTGTGTGTGTGAGTGTGTGTGTGTGTGTGTGTGTGTGTGTGTGTGTGTGTTCGTGTAGGTATGGGTCTATAGATATATATATATATATATATAAATGTTTTATCATACGTATTATTTATAATATATCAATATAAAAAAAATAAGCAACATATGAAATGATATACTTTAATGTTATAATAATAGGCATGCAAATAGATAAGTTATTTACCGTAAAAGCTTGAGAACTTCTTGTTTAAATTTATCTTTGGACATGTTAAATATATCTAAGTTCGAGAATTTTTTATTGTATATTGAGCAAATCCTAGTCAAGGGTGAGTTTCTTCCATAGTTAGTATTTCGAGCGTTGGGAGCGAATAAAGGGGTGTGTCTTGTACGCTTCTTGGGTACATTTACATTTATAGCAGATAGCAAAACCGGGGAATCCAGGTAGCCATTAGCTATATTAAACAAAAACATCATATCTAAGAGAGTACGTCTATTTTCTAAGGACATTACTTTATGATTTCGGCAGCCTGTAACATAATCAGAATAAGTGTGAGTTCTATAGTTCAGGTGCCTTATGAGCTTTGCCTGAACACTTTCAATTTGTTGCTTGTGGGTAATATAATAGGGAGACCAAATACTACTTGCGTATTCTAAAACGCTTCGAACGTGCGCGTAATAAATACTTTTAATAGAGTTTATGTCTGAAAAAGGTTTGCAAATACGTAGAACAAATCCTAGATTTTAGTAAGCTTTTTGCACTATAGTATCCACGTGTTTTGTCATTGTCAGTTTCTTGTCAAGTGTAATGCCTAAATCACGAACTTCATCTACTTCTTCAACTGGGATGTTATTTATACTATATGTAAATTTTATAGGTTTATTTTTGCGTGTGAATGATATTTTTTGACATTTAAGTACATTTACAGTTATATTATTAACAGAGTAATAATACGACGGTTTGTTTAAAGTGCTTTGAAGGTTATCGCAGTCTTGAATATTATTAATTTTATAAAAAATCTTCTTATCATCCGCATATAAAAGGTAGTTTGTGGAGTCAAAACAGGTGAAAATGTCATATATATATGCATTGTATAATAATGGACCTAGATGAGATCCCTGTGGAATCCCGGAGGGAATATTGATGAAGTTAGACCTGTAAGAACCAACTACTACGGCCTGAGATCTGTTCGAAAGATAGGATTTTACCCAACGTAACAAGTCTCCATGTATTCCCAATCGTTCTAGTTTGGCGAGCAAGATAATGTGATTCACGCGATCAAAGGCTTTTTCGAAGTCTGTATACACAACGTCAACTTGCCCCCCACGTTCCATATTATTAAGAACGAACTCAAAAAACTCCGCAAGATTAGTCACAGAAGAGCGCCGCATCAAGAAACCATGCTGAGCGTGACTTACGCCTTTCGCTATTGTGCTGTAGATTTGGTCATAAAAGATTTTTTCAAATATTTTACTGAAAGTATTTAAAATGGAAATTGGCCTATAATTTTCGATTTTGGATTTAGATGTTTTTTTATGAATTGGTATGATATTGGCCACTTTCCATTTAGTAGGAAAAAAAGATTCGGACAAAGATCATTCAAAAATTATTTTTAGGGGACAAACCAGAGCTTCAGCACAGTTACGTATAAATATAGGGGGGATATTATCTGTACCAGCCGATTTATTGGGGTCAGTTGATTTTAGAAGTTTAAGTAAGTAGTTTTCATTTATATTAATTTTACTAATAACACTAGACTCACTACTTGTGGGTAAATTAAGTGTTGATAAATCTATACTTGTTTGGAATTTACCAAACCCACTTTCAAAGAACTTATTAAATCCGTTGCATATTTCTGTTCCATTATTATAAACATCCGAACCATAGGTTAGCGTTTTAGGATAGTTAGATTTACCTTTTTTAGATTTTACGTATTGCCACATTTTTTGGGACAAACTTTAATTTGATTTTGAACATGAGTTATAAATTGGTTGTAAAGATCATGTTCAACTTGTTTTGCTCTTGTTCTTAATACGGAAAACTCCCGATAATCCAGCTCATTCCCAAAACGTTTCCATTTCTTATGCATTTTTGACTTTTCTTTTAGAATTCTAATTAGGCTATTATTATACCACATAGGATAACTTTTGTTACTTATATTAACCTTACGTTCGGGAACATATAAGTTTATACACTTGTGTAATTCTGAGGTAAAACAATTAACAGCGCAGTCTACTGATTCGCAAGAGTTAAATAGCTCGCACCAATTAAACTTTTTTAAATTTTATCATGTTTTCAAAATTACATTTATGAAAATTACGCTTAAACATATACTTTTGTTCTATAAGAGGGCGTACTGATATGTTCGAGGCGTCAATTAAGAGGCAAGGATGGGCGCGATCTTCGTTTACTAATGAGATACAGGAGAGGTTACATGATGCCGAAAAGTTACTAAATACCAGGTCAAGGGTATTACCATAGTGGTTTTTTGTATAATTACATTGTTCTAATCCCAGCAGATTAAACTCTTCCAAAAGTAATTTCAGGGGTGTCACTTCCACTATGGAAGGTATGGAGCACTCCATACCTCAAGTTTTTCAAGGTATGGAATTCCATAGCTGAAATTAGGAAATAAATCGCATATTACTACAAACCCCATATAAATAAATCGCAAGCCCTTAAACCTCAATACCCCACATCTTATAGTTCAATAAATAAGTTGAGTATATACACTGCAAACTCTTAAACCTTAATACCCCACGAGTAATGCGAACAAATTTGAAAATCGCGCCACCATTTTCCATACCTCAGATTTTTACAAAGTGACACGCCTGAGTAATTTACCTGCATTTTGAATTGCTAACAAGCACCTATTAGTATGTATTG